GGGCCAACCGCAAACTTAGCTTTATTTGAAAAGGCAAATCCCATAATATTTTGGGGTTGCCACATCTGCTACGTTTATTTATATGGTAAAATCTGGCTTCGTTGAGGCACTTTGTGAGAATATAGGAATATATCGGAATTAAAAGTATCATTTATATAGGATCCTGTATTCGTATATAGTACATATATAGGACACTGATTCAGGCTAAGTTTTAGGACCTTTAACTTGAATAATTGAATCTTATTCTAAGTATGTACAAGTGAACATTAATAAAGCTAGTACGAAAAAATTGAAACCGCTTATAGCCTAGAGAATAATAAAAATAATAGAACAAGAACTTTATCGAAAATTAAACAACCCATGGAAAAATATTCCTTATAATGAACGTGAAAGAACACGTTTTTGAAAAAATTGAATGTATTTTATCGACTAAAAATGCGTTCTAAGAACCAATTGACGCGTTCAGATGCGTTTCTCAAAATTGTGAACGCGTTCGAACGCATACTTTTTAGTAAGCAACGCGTTTCTATTATATTGAACGCGTTAATAGTGGAGGCTTCTTTTATCGTACGAACGCTTTCAACTTATATGCGTTTGAACTTGTTCGCGAGTAATTCGTTCTTATAGTTAGAAAACCTGTTTCTCCAAAAACGCTTGAAGATGTATACTGAAGAACTTGTTGGACAACTTTCAGAACGCGTTCTTTTATGTAGTGAAAAGTACTCATTTTAACTTTATGGAATTCATTACTTGAAATATATCGAAATACATGTAACGGAAGTGCTATGCCAATTAAGAAATATGTGTCAACATGAAAAAATTTCTTTCTGCTGCAATGTACTGAAAGGAAGTGTCTTGTTAGTCAAAGTGATCATATATCTGGAGTTTCGTAATAAATGATTTTCCTTTTTCCTAAACTAGTTTTTTTATCAAACGAATTCGCTAATCTCATGCATTTTGAATGTACATTCTCAAATCGTATATTCTTTCTTTTATTTGAAAAATAGTAATCGGGAAGGTTCCAATTGATTTTAAACATGAAACGGAAACTTTGCAAAAGCTATACTAGTGTATGCCTCATATGTATTTATCACATTTTTACTTGCCATCGAACGCATCACTTATTTTTGCTCATAATAAAAATCAGAATTGTCCATCGATTTCTAATTGATTTCTATTAAATTTAGCTTTTGTCGATTTAAATTTATAATGAATTTAACTTTTTAAAATTAACAAAAATTTTATATTTACTCAAATTCTATCGTGCAATGTAAATTCAATTTAAACCAAAATAATTAGACTTAAATTGGATAAAAATCACAGTAAATAAATTTAGAT